TAATTTAAAGTAGAATTATGATTCAGCATAATTTTTTACAGATGCATATTTAATAATTTGCTGACTGATACATTAAATATTATTTCTTCACATCACAGGTTTAAGATAATGATTTAGACACAAAGAACTTAACAGAATAACAATATATTACAGGTATATGCCACTTACAGAAGACGTCTGTTTATTTAATTTTTTAAAATGCCTCCATATCTCTTATTTAGGGGATAGCCATCAAGTGTTACTTCCGGACATTTATTCCAGGAGAATTTAGTCAAATGTTAGACATTACTAGTCTTCCACATGGATGCTTACTCCTCAAAGGCGCCTAATCCCTTCTCTGGAATTACGGGGGTCCATGTTTTACGTCCTGTTCATATATTTCTGTTACTGTTTTTTCTTCATATTTTCCTTCATATCAATCTCCAATCCTCTTCTTCTACGAAATTTACGGCTGGGACCTTGAAAAGTCCCGTTGACTTTGGATTTGCTCTTTTGTTCCAACTTTATTTTGCTTTGGAGGACGGGGTTTGGGTATGGTGGTTCTTTGGGGGGAAACAAACAGCTTTTCCAATGCATTTATTATTATAAAAAGACATTTAACCTTTATTTACACTCTTTGCTTAAGTTTAATTTCAAGAGACAGAACTCAATATCAATGAAACGAAGGCAAACGTGATATTCGATAATTACAGAAATGAGTATAGCCAAACGTCACTTTTTGTTAATATTGATATGAAACAAAACAGTCTTGGTTCACTTATGCTTTCTCCTATTTCTCAGAGGTCATTTCAGCGAGCAGCGAACATACTCTTATTTCTAATGAATCAATAACTATTTCACACTTCACATTTTTCCACACACTAATTTGTCCTGACTCTTCTTTCATTGATGTTTTGTGAACAGTACTGTAAATCCTGGATCTAAATATTCTATATTCAAAAAGTATACTGGAAATAATATAAAAGATAAATATTGGTAAGCTTGTATAGAGTATGTACTCCTTACACCCCCGCTTTTTATATCTGACTCTCCAAGGATTTGATCCTTCAGAAACGTATCCCATATCTATGAAATATGAAGATAATGAATAAAATCTAGGTCAAGAGTTCAGAGCAAACACGAACTCTAAAACACTGGAGTGGGGATTAGGTGTCACCGAGGAGTAAACATCTCCTAATTACGATCCTAATTACGACCGGTCAAACATGTCGTGCGCTCCGTATTATCACCGGATAACCAAAAACTCCGTAAAAAATAACTGTGAAAAAAAATAGTCTAACAATTTGTACGACCAAGCCAGTCAACATTCGGCTTGGCGATATAGGAATTTTTTTTTGTTTTACAACGTTTTTTTTATATATCATTTTCAAAATATTGACATTAAATGAAATTGTTAATATCCTTATACCAAGTACTTCGTAAGGCATTTATTTTTTTCAGCAGCAACACAATATAATGTTACATGTATGTTATGCTGCTTATATGTAACATTGATTGACTCTTTAGCTGTTTGTGTCACCATTTCTTTTTTAAATTGATGTTATAAACTGTCTGCTTTCCTATTGAAATCTTACCTTTCTTAAACTTAAGATAAAAGATACAGAAGAGTCTGACTTATTCGTTTCATATTTGAATATTTTACTAGAAAAAGACAATGATAGAAACCTAACAACAAAACTGTATTGTCAACTTCACTTACATACATAATTTTAGCAATACATCCTTATCACTTGTAAATAATGTTAGGGTCTTGCAGTTATTTCGATAGGCAAGTGCATGCTTTACGTTCATTCAAACTTACAAATCAGGAATAGATCAAACCAGGACCTCTAAAACATCAGATGTAGGAACAGGTACCATGAAGGAGTGCGCTCCCCCTGCCGACCCGTCAATACCACTGTGTGGACGTCTCTGTCATGATTGGGAAATAAAGGAAAAATCTGTAGACCATCCAAAGTGTAAATAATGACTTCACAATTAATATGAGCAATTTCTATCAGCATTTGACATAAATTAGAGGATAACAAGGTCATTGTATGTAACTTGCGAAATTAGACTATTTTTTCCATGGAACCAAAAACATCTGGATTTTTTTTTATTTTGAAATTTTTCTTATTTTAGAATTGTCAAATAAAAAACCTTTTTAATGTTGTTTTTTGTTTGTCTGTCTTGAAATTACAATAAAAAGGCATTTTTGAATTGATTATTTGTTACTGTTGAATAACTCAGATTTTCATATAAACCGGAATAACTTTTTTTCATATCACATGTAATTAGACATGTACGTAGTGTGATAAATTATTGGGCTTTTTTTTAATCGCATGTCTTACGACAGAATCATTAAGGAGCTCATAAATAATTTGCAATAAAATGCCACAAAATACAATGATTGGCACAGGCTTCTGATGAAAGGACGGGGTTATACTTATGAGTTTTCTTTTTCTTTTCTTCTCTTTGAAAACACGCTATAGATATTTTAAACTTAATGTGTAACTTAAAATGACAAATGGAAAATTCTGTTCTTAAAATTGCTGAGGTTACTTGGTATTTGAGTTTATTATTATAAAAAAAAATTTGTCTGCGGCTTACCAACCCTCTGTCGCAAAGTGTAATTTTTTTTATTATTTCACAGTAAATGTCTATTTAAGCTTAAATGTCAAAAATAAAACACAATATTCATTACATTGTGTCATTTATTCACAACCAAGTTAACTGTCATAAGAATCACTATCCCTGTTAAGCGTTGTAATCTTAAAATATTAGTACACTTTATTTCTGTTATTAGGATTATAGGAATTATTTTTTTTATTCAGACGTTCATATAGATATAGACTTGAAATAAAATGACACTGCCTGGAAGACTTTGTTATTTCCTTGATTGGAATAAAGCTTTACTTTAATCATTTTTTAAAATGATAACCCCTTTTTTTGCCCAACATTGACTCAGTATAGAAAAAGTTATTGCATTATTATATCTTTATTGAATATACAAGTCAACTCTACAGTTAAACCTTTCATAGAAGGATTTATTTTTACACGAGACATAAAAAAAATGTAGAGCATTTCGGAAACACGTTTCGCCTCAGTAAAGAATAAATCTGTTAGTTAACACATCATAAAAAAACTGGGTTTCGTAAATCACATATATCCAAAAAAAATTGTTTGATCATTTTGCTCTTTGCACCTATTTCGAATTTTTCTTTCTTTTGCTTAATTTGAAATCGCTTATTTTCGGTGGTGGAGGTAATTTTCATTGCTTTCGAGGTATGTATAGAGAGACCCTCGAATTTTAGACCACCACAAAATGTAAAACTTCATATGCATTAAAACTAAACATTTTTCAACCACAAAATCAATTCCCCATATACCATAATATTTCTCTCAAACATGGAAAATTTGACCCCACGAAAATTTGAGATTTTACAGTACTTGATTTAATGGAATAATAATTTTCATTAAATTTCAAAGGATTTACCGATACTTAACACTGATTTAACTATGAAAAAAAGTGTTACATCGTTCTTTTGGAATCAAAAATAGTCTACTGTAATCAAAAATAAGGGATTAACGAACAGTATTCAAGCTCATAAGTCCATTAAACAATATGAAATTGGAGCAGAGCCAAACATGGACCTCTTCAACACCAGAGGTTGAATCAGGTGCCATGGAGGAGTGAGCATCTGCTACCGACCGATCATGTTCGGGAAAAACGGAAAAATCCGTCAACAATTCAGTGTGTATATAATGGCCTAACAATCAATATAAAAAAGGTCAGTCAGCATTTGACTTAATGATAGATTGTATTTGTTGATAAGGTTATTGTATCGACAGTAGAATAAACGAAACGATGACTTTAAATGAGACTGCTGACATTCTTGTGTCATCAACTTATTTGTCAATAATTAACCTCGTTTTAAACTTCTTCACACGTAGCTATAGTGCATTTTCTTGCATATCGAATCAAATGAGAGATGTAAATCCCGTATGCAGGCGAAGGTATATTTCTGCATAAGTAAGTGAAGTTGAAAAATACAAAGTTAAAACTATGGGGATAGGGATTCGACGATGAACATGAAATATATAGAAATAACAAACAGTATTCCAGCTCAAAAGTCCACAAATCAATACAAAATTGTAGCAAAGCAAACACGGACCTCCAAACATAAGAGGTGGGATAAGGATCAGTGTTTGTTTGTTTGTTTGATTGTTTAACAAACAGTATTCCAGCTCAAACGTCCACTAAACAATACAAAATTGTAGCAGAGAAAACACGGACCTGCAAACATAAGAGGTGGGATAACTTAGGATCAGTGTTTGTTTGTCTTTTTTTTTGTTTCTACAAAAACTATATTATCCAAAACTCTCAAGGGGAGGAGGCGTTTAACAGGGAATTGTTTACCCTTCCTTGACACCTAATTCCATTCAAACCTGAGGTATACAGGGGTCCTTGATTTGCTCTGTTTATGATTCATTGAGTGTACTGGATTTATGGGATTGATCGCCAGTCCCTTTCTTATGATTTACACATCAAAATTTAATTAGATTATGATTGTTATGGACTTTAAGATTTAAAAGATTTTTTTTGCTTTTTGCACATTGTCCAAAACAAAATGCATGCTTTATAAAAAATTTTAATGTTTGGCAAGTAATGAATTAATTGATAACGAAAAAAATGTTAACAAAATTAAATTGAAATATCAGACTGCTAAAGAAAAATTTATTGAGCAAATACTAACAAAAAAAGGCCAATAACCCACAAGCTTACCTGAGGATTTAATGTACACTTTATGCATACTTGTTTTATTTTATTTATTGTTATATATCTATAAATGAAAGGATTTGAGACATCTTCAATAGATACTGTATGAGGAAATGTACTTTTAGAAATAAACGATGATTTTTGTAATGAAAAATTCAAGTTTACTTTTTTTCCTTTCTTTTTTTATGACATATTTTTAACAGTTTTATGAAATATTTGTTTATTTTCCTCTTTTTTTCAGTTCATATGATTAATTATGTACTGAGTGATTGCCCGGAGTCCTCTAGGACCTGCCTCCTCCCCGTGTCCCGCCTGCAGCTGTACGTCCATGACATACTGCCCCTGGGCGGCTTCTACACGACATACAACCAAACAGCACTGGTGGACATATGCAGGTATATATAAAACTAAGCAACACTGCCAGATTTTTTCAGGTATACCATACATCTTAGCTGTTAATAGTACGAATAGGTCAACAGTATCCAAACAAGGAGAAAAATATCAGAACAAGAAAATAATATTTATAACTTTTACTCTTATAGTACATTTGTAAAGTCACTGAGTTTCAATCCTGGCTTCATATTTATTACATATATATTCTTTTAAATTATCATGATTTTTTTAGTGTCTATAGCATACTTCAAATGAGGTTTTAAAAATATCAAACAATAACTAAGCTAGTTTGCCTACACGTCCTTGTTTTCAGGTTGGTTGATGAATATCAGACTTGTTCTCAGACAATCACAAAAGGTTGTGATAGAATAACTATCCATAATATGCATTTGCTATACCGTGCCTTCCTTCCTATCTGTGGAAAATATAAACAAGGTAGTTATAACCTTTTCTACAGATTCAAGAAAGATAACCATTATGCTTTATATTGGACTACATGTGTGTTATGATTGTCTAACTTTACTCAGAATGAAAGAACAACCTGTTTATGGAAAATTGAAGTTATTCTTTAAATAGTATTTTGTTTTATGTTTTAATTTGCAGACTACGTATATCACAGGGACTGCTATAGCCAACAAATGTTTTTATACAAGTCTTGTCATCAGAGAAGGCAAAGCCAAGTTCACCAAATACGAAGGAATGAGCACTACAATTTACAGATCTGCCAGTAACTAAAGCTTTAAAAAATTCACCATAATTTTGTAATATAATGGTGTCATATAGAATTAATTTCTCTCAAGGTCAGACGACCCTGTCTTTAAAAGTATAGTATGCATGCCTATATTTAAAGTTTTACCCGAGGAGTTTGTTTTGAAGTACTTTTACTCAACTATTTCACTCAAAGAAAAATTGGGTACCTTACAACTCACTTTTGCCAGAAACGAGAGGATGGTGTCTTTTATAATATCCTATAGGAAATCATTTCAACGAACAATGTCTAATGGCATATTTCCTTTTTAAACAGTTAGACATGACAAAATGATGAAAATGACTAGCATTAATATTTTTTACGTAACGAAGGGATGCAAAACAGGTACTCGAGATCAAGGAGTGTTGTCTGACCTTAGAATATCCTACACATTTACAACAATTTAAGTTGTATTTAGCTTTGAATGATTCTTACAATGGTTAAATAAGAAATGTAGAACTATATATTTTTTCCTTTTTTCAGAGTAACCAACCAGTATATGAAGTGTGTTTACCTTGTTACAGCATTACAGTGTTCTATGGAGGCGGCGGATGTGTACTTTAATATTCTAAACCAATCAATATCATTGTCATTCAGTGACGCAGACTTCACGTGTTATATACGTCATCCCGATGACGACATATCTGTTTTCACGACAACGAAATCCACTTCTAGGGCTGCGACATCTCTAGGTTTTACAACGAGTGTTGGGGGTCCGAAAGGCAAACGATCTGTCAGTTCCGCAACAGAAGCAGTTTCTTCTAATTCGGGGTGCTTTGTATTGCTTCTCGTGCTTTATTTTATAATCATAACAATGATTTAATAGTAAATATTTTTATTCAGATATGTTTTGTTTGTATTGAAATTAAAATGAACACATTATCATAAAGAATAAACTAAAAAAAAATACCTCTATTGGACTGCACAAACAAATCTCAAACATCTGTTAAGAAGAAAAAAGTAGTTGTTCCTGATAATGTACTTATTAAAAAAAACTGCTAACTTGTCACGTTAATGTGGATCTGACCATGCACATTTTCAATGTGTTAGATCTAAAATACATATTAAACATAATATTAATGGATATTTGATGCGGTGGTTTGACACCAATGAAAATGCAAGGTTTGATGACTAAACAAATGACGAAGCAAGAAAATCAAATCAAATAAAAATATGTAAATATAACAATGCATTAATTAAGGAATGAATTTAATAGCTACCCATTTTATACGGTATAAACTGGGTTGGGGCAGTTTACGCTTTATAAACCGCGAAGCTGTTCATAAAAGAGCGTAAACTGTTCTAACCCAGTTTATGCGTATAAAATGGGTAGCTATTAATTTCATTGCTTATAATTTAATTTTCATTCATTCGATGTAAGAAAAAAAGATTGTTGTAACAAAATGACTTCAATTTGTGCAAAATTTGAATGTAACGTCAGGCGGATTGATACGTTTTTGACGCAAGTCATTGTGACTTAGGCAACCCATTTTATACGATATAAAGTAAATTTTTTATCCAATCAAATACAGCGTTACAACCAGAATTAAATTATATATTTGTCAATTGTCAATTCCAAAAAAGTCCATCTAGACATTTAGTTATATTTACTTGATTTACCGAAAATTGCATACAAAAGCTATGAAAAGAATATGCAGCGAATATATGATATATTTACAGTATATATACTGAAACGCAAAAGAAACGCAACAAAGCAGTAATCTACAAATATTAAAAATTTTTATCTAATGATTTTCAAAAAAGAATACAATAGGGCTTAACTCACTTTTCAGAACATCAGAGATTTGATTTGATAAAAATGTTAAATGTTTATTTTTTAATTTTACTAAGTAACATATGACTGTTAAAACACCCTTCTCCCAGCCATTCAATTACAACGTGAAAGACTGCCCTAAACATCAATTGCAGCTTAATTTCTACGATAAGTTAATTAATATCGAGATCTGAGCGAAGGAATTATTCTTTGCCATTTTTAAATGCCTGCTTTTCTGATGATTAGGTCGAATTTTCTCTAACTTAGCGCATTGTAGTAACCCTTGGACTTCCGGTCTAAGGGCTATTATTTATGCATATGATACGTAAGACCCCGCTGAGGCGTAATGTAGTGTATTTTTGCATCATCATCTCTCCATCACATTTACTTTGAGATTTTCCAGCTAGAGCAATTGAAATGCGTACTTAAATTTTCATCTCGACATTCGGAAATATCGACGACGTTTTATTATATAAAAACAACATTTACTTCCATTCATGTGTCGAATAGATACGTTCTAACGTTCAAGCGAGCTTGAAATAGAGGACACAATAGAGATTTCACATTTGTTTCATATATTGTTTTATTGCTGACTACTAATGATAAATGCTAAATTTGAATTAACCTTGCAGAACAAACTAGATTAGTTTTTCTTATTTCATTGCATCATTCATTATTTGCGTAGTAATATTTCTATTATCTGCATATTTTTTTTATTTCCCAACTTATTCGATGGTCGAGAGCATGCTCTTTTATAAGTATAAACAATTTTAAACCGAGGCAGGTTACAAACAGATTAGTTGATACTACATAAATTTGAACAACAATTTTTTTGTTAATGTAAATTTTAATCAAAGATTAAAAAAGAATACATAAATAATTTGTTATGGTTTTGGTTCCTCATGATAAAGTAAAAACTTAGGTTTTTTATATTATAGATAGATGTTTCTTTAATGAAATTGGAAGGTTAAATTTTCCTTTCCTGCGATTGGCCATCAACTTTACTATGCTTTGCTAACTTTACTTTGATAAAAACTAATGATTTAAAACATAAGAACTTTGAAGTTAATATTAAGGTGGTACAAAATAGCTAGGCCGACTTTCCATCAAATGCATTTTTTAAATTTGATATGTTAGTCTCGGATACAAAATTGCTCTTTATGTGTAAAATTGAAAGAAATTCAAGGCCTATCAGATCATTTGACTGACAGATAAACTGATGTAACAAGTATTTAAACAAAATCTTTTAAAGTAGGTATTTCGATAATTCTATTGCTGGAAGAATGTTTTGTATGGTTACTGCACGGAAAGAAGGATTCAACATATATAATCTCCGCGTACAATTGCCATGTCTTATTAATCTTTAAATTATATAATTTTTATTTAGCTTAATTCATGCACAAAGAGAATGAAACTTGACTCCTCTTCATTAAACGAAATGAATGACCTACCATTAGTATAACTTAACCAGTTTGTTTTAAATGACAAAGCACCTTGTCATAATGTCAAAAAGAAAAACAAGAGGCCCAGGGGCCACAGCGCTCACCTGAGAACATCGGCTAGGAAAAAGCACATATCAGATCTGAACTTAAAGTTTACTGAAGTTGGGGGGGGGGGGAGGCTTGAATTTTAACCCCCCAGGGGGTCATGATTTGAACAAACTAGAATCTACACTACCTGAGAATGATTCCTTATAAATATAACTAATCATGGCTTTGAAGTACTTAAAAAGAAAATTTTAAAAGGTTTCCCTATCTATCCCTATACAAAACTTTTTTGGCCCCAACCTTCACCCAGGGGTCATGATTTGAACAAACTTGAATCTACACTACCTGAGGATGATTCCACATGAGTTTCATCTTTCCTGGTCCAAAGGTTCTTGAGAAGAAGATTTTTAAAGATTTTTCCAATATATTCCTATGTAAAACTTTGGTCGGCCATTTTGGTCCTATCCTCGCCCTGGGGGGTCATGAATTGAACAAACTTGAATCTACACTATCTGAGGATGCTTCCACATGAGTTTCATCTTTCCTGGCCCAGTGGTTCTTCAGAAGAAGATTTTTAAAGATTTTTCCTAATATATATTCCTCTGTAAAACTTTGATCGGCCATTTTGGCCCCACCCTAGCCCAGGGGGTCATGATTTGAACAAACTTGAATCAACACTACCCGAGGATGATTCTACATGAGTTTCATCTTTCCTGGTCCAGAGGTTCTTGAGAAGAAGATTTTCAAAGATTTAAATCTTTTCCTATATATTCCTATGTAAAACTTTGGTTGGCCAGTTTGGCCCCACCCTAGCCCCGGAGAGTCATGATTTGAACAAACTTGAATCTACACTACCTGAGGATGCTTTCACTTGAGTTTCATCTCTCTTGGCCAAGTGGTTCTTCAGAAGAAGATTTTTAAAGATTTTTCCTTATTAAAATATATATTCCTATGTAAAACTTTGGTCGGCCATTTTGGCCCCACCCTAGCCCAGGGGGTCATGATTTGAACAAACTTGAATCAACACTACCTGAGGATGATTCCACATGAGTTTCATCTTTCCTGGTCCAGAGGTTCTTGAGAAGAAGATTTTTAAAGATTTTTCCTATATATTCCTATGTAAAACTTTGGTCGGCCATTTTGGCCCCACTAGATTGGAGGGTCATGATTTGAACAAACTTGAATCTACACTACCTGAGGATGCTTTCACATGAGTTTCATCTCTCTTGGCCAAGTGGTTCTTGAGAAGAAGATTTTTAAAGATTTTTCCTATATAATCCTATGTAAAACTTTGGTCGGCCATTTTGGCCCCACCCTAGCCCCTGGGGTCAAGATTTGAACAAACTTGAATCTACACTACCTGAGGATGATTCCACATGAGTTTCATCTTTTTTGGCCCAGTGGTTCTTCAGAAGAAGATTTTTTAAAAATGCCATTAATTTTTCACTAATTCATAATTATCTCCCCTTGGAAGTGGGCGTGGCCCTTCATTTTAACAAACTTGAATCCCCTTTACCTAAGGATACTTTGTGGCAAGTTTGATTGAAATTGGCCCAGTGGTTAATGAGAAGAAGATGAAAATGTGAAAAGTTTACGCCGACGCCGACGATAACGACGACAGACAAATTTTGATCAGAAAAGCTCACTTGAGCCTTCGGCTCAGGTGAGCTAATAAAGCGAATTCGTATTCGGCAAAAGTATATCCAAAAAATGACATATACTTGGACAGCATATCAAATATAATTTGAAATGAAAAATATTTGATGATAACGAACAGAATTCAAGCCCAAAAGCTCATTTAACAATAAAAAAAAATAGGAGCAGAAAAAAAAACACGGACCTTCAAAACATCAAAGTTGGGATCACGTGCCGTGGAGGAATGAGCATCCCCTGCCGACCGGTCACACCCGCCGTATGCTCCTTGTCATGATAGGGAAATACCGAGAAAATCCGTCGTCAATTCAGTGTGTAAATAATGGACTTACAAAAAGTGTGAAAAACGTCAAAATGATAAATTATATTTGCTGACAAGGTCTTGTATCGACCATAGAATTTATAAAATGATGAATTTAAACAATACTGATGAAATTTCTGTTTCAACAACTTGTTTGTCAATAACTTGCCTCGTTTTATAAATAGTTCATAAGTATAGCAAGCTCTTGCTATCAAATCATCTGAGAGATATAAACCAGGTAATGCAGGCGATGAAAGTAGATAATACAAAAATGGCATTCAACCAGTTTTCCCTTATTTTGTTATTTATTTCGTCCCTGCATACAAAAAAGGACATTTAAATAACTTACGGTCACTTTTTGCATTTTAAAAGCTATATAATTGATTATAAACGTTTCATATTATTAACCTTTTGGAAATATTTTACATATTTCGTTCTTTCTAATTAAATTTTGATCGAAGTGTACTCACTTGAAATAAAAGACAACACAGAGTCTGCCACACATGTTACAAAATTGAGATGTTTATACTGACTTTAGACGATAAACGCCAATTTACAACTAAATTAACTGACAAACGAGATGAATTCAGCCTTTCCATCGTCCACTCTCCTTATTTATGTATTAAC